TTCCAGTTGGGCCAGGCTCATATGTTTGAATTCATTCCCTGTGGGAGACAGAGCTGTGGCCTTCCAGATGGGAAATACTGAAGGATTTAGGGAGAAACTGTAGGAATTCTTTGAGGTGCAGACATGGAATTCCCTGAGGTGCAAACACAGGGTCCCTTCCTGCTGCAAATCCCCGTCGGGGCAGGAGTGGACTCAGTGGCCACCATAACATGACAGCAAGTCTGAGGGACCATTTCCAGTGACAGCACTGGGCTCTTCCCTAGGGATTGTGGATGCTTCCCTAACTCTGCCTGTCCCCTTTCCCCACAGATCCGTAAGACCACGGCCAGCCAGGTGTACGAGATGCTGATAACCTACGGCGACGTGGTGGATCCCGCCGTCATGGACGAGGTCATGGCCATCCTCAGTGACACCAACTGGTAAGTGCAGCTGTGCCAGACAGAAATAAGAGCTGAAATAATTTCTGAATGAGCAGGAGTTTGATGGATGCCTTTGAGAGCTGGTGGGGAGGAAGCTGTAAGGAATGATTCCGTAGGTTCGTCTCTTTAATGAATTTAAAAGAACTGCTGCAAGGAATTCCTCTGCTCTAAAGAACTATCCAATTCACTCTCCCACTGAAAATGGGATGTGTAAAATCACCACTAGATAAAGCAAAATACCTATATTTTTCTAACAGCATAAAAAGGGAGGAAATCTTGGAAGTTTTCCATGAAACAGAGACAGGGCTATGCAAACAGTCAAACTGCAACTGCACAGACAGTTTCTTGGCATTTATGGCAGGATTTGGGGAAAGGAAGGATCTCTGCAAGCTGGAAAACAACAGAATTAGCAGAACAGCTCAAATCTCCCATGAAATGTAATTACTCAACATGCTACAAGTGCTGTATTCAAGCAACCATTTGGAATTGGAACAGTTTAGATGTTTCCCAGGCACATGATGGCATGAATTAAACAACCACTTTATAGAATGTAACTCATCTTTTTACCTACTCTTACCTGCACCTTTGGCTTCTTCCAAGGGCAGGTGAAGAGAGTCCTGTTCTCCATGAGCACAATCCACTGGAGCAGGACAGTGACTTTCAGGGCAGGAGACTGTGACAGGAGCAGGGACCCACCATTTTGGCACTGGATTTTTCCCTTTCTGCATATTTTAGCATTGAGCATTATCATCACCTGGGCAGATTGATAAAAGGCTGCAGGGCTTGGAGATCTGAGGGAACATGGATTTCTAAGGTACTATTTAGTTTATTACTTTTGCTGCCATGTTAAACATTTTCCCTTGACCCAGACCTGGGCCATGGGGCTGCTGCCCCACACAGCACAGTAGATACAAGAGAACAGACAGATATATATAAAACAATATATAATTTATTTAGTCATTATATTAAATGGCTTTTTGTCTCCACTGACATTTCATGGAAATAAAAATACACCTTCAGGCTGGATCACAGATTTGCAGGCTCCATGCTACATTGTTTGACTTTTATGTACTTTCCAGTTTATTTCTGTACTGGAACTTAAATAACTTTATATTTGGGAAAAGAAAACTGAGTTTGTTATTGTGAAGGATAGCTGCTGCTCTTTTTCTGAATTTTCCAGTGCAAAATTAGAGCAACAGTCTCAGATTTGAAGGATTGGTTACCAGCAATTCTGCCTGTGGTTACAGTTCCTTGTTTAACTGCACATGGAGGTTTAGGATTGTGTTTGGGGTGACTCAGTGCTCGCTTATGAAACCTGCATTTAAGAGCAGACTTGCTCAGAAATTGCATTAAGCATTTTAACAGAATTACTGGAGCAGGACGAGATGGCTGCTGTAACCAAGGGGTGGTTGCAGGACCAAAATTAGAAGTCCAGGAAAAGCAGTGGTAGTTCAGCTCTGCTTATAAAGGGGTTATTTACAACAAAACAAAATATTCCCCCAAAACCACTCCAGAAAAATAAATACTGTGTTTTCACCTTGTCATTTTTAGGGTGTGCCTGGTTTATTCTGGCCTGGAGCAGGCCCTGAGTACCCTCTTGCAGTGTGGCCATTGCTCTGAGATGAAAGACAAAGCTCGTTTACTCAAAACTTAATTGTTTAATCTTGGTAGATTGGGGCTGTTTACAGAAGAAGAGATTTGAAGCAGTTGCTGAGTGTCAGAGTGAGCTGCTTGTTATCCTCAAGCTCTCTCAGTGCTAAAATAATCATTCTGAATTCTGAATTACACCAAGCACTAAGAGCAGGAAGCCAAATGAGAATTCATTTTGGGGGAAGATGGTAGTTACTGGGATACACACATTTGTTCCTTTTGGGACTACAGAGAGTTTATCATGCAATTGTGTCATGCAGAGTTTAAACAAATTGCTCTATAAATAATACATGTTGTTTAGCCACAGGAAGGTTTCCAGGAGTAAATAAGACACGTTGTCCAAGGTGTAAAAAAAGAAAGTTCAGGTTATTTCTGACTTGCCTTTTTTTTGCTTTTTCTCTGTAGTTTTGGACTCTTTATGTGCCAAGAGTTAAATTTGTAATTAATTGCTCATTTACAGTCATTACTTAAGAAAACCAAAGTAAATGTCCTGCCCTGGTGAGCAGGACCAGCAGCCTCCCAGCATTCCAGTTTGAGGGACAGGATTCTGCCACATGGAAAAGAATTCTGCTTCCAGGGATTTGGGGCATTTGGGGGCTTTTTTTAACTGACAGTTCTGGAAGAAATTATCTCGTGGACATGATGCCATTTCAGAAACTTTTTTAAAAGCCTCACATATTTTAGGTTTGGATTTTTCTATTTCAGGACAAAGCTTCTGGAGAGTGTAGATTGTTCTCCAAATCCAGTAATGTTAGAGAATAAATTAGTGAACTTGTAGTCTAAAGAGTTGTATGAATAAGTGCTATTTTTTTTTAATATAAAACTCTAAAAGAATAGACCTGGTGTGTATTTATGGGTTATCTGGCTTAAGATGGTACAAAAATGTTTCATTATTCTTAAAATGTGACAGAACAAAAACTCCTAGAATTTGAAATGTACACAAAAGATCATCATAATCCAGTAGTAACATGGATCACTTAAGATGTTGTGTATGAACATGGGCACCCTCAGGTTTTAATTTGTGAATTAACTGGCACACCTTTCCTCCCCCAGGGAAGCAGAACTGCCCGTGGTGAGGGAGAGACGCAACTGCCTCTGTGACCTCCTGAAAGTGCCCAAACCTCAGCTGGTGTCCAAGGTACAGGGAATGTGCTCCAGGGGGGTGTTTGCTCATGGAGGTGTCCCTGTGCACCAGGAGGGGTGTCCTGAGCCAGCAGCAGAACACGTGGAGTGGCCGAAGCTGCTGCCTTGAGCCCTTCCAGCCTCGTTCCCTGGGAGCATCCCAGGCTGGCAGTGGGACATCTCAGACACCACCCAGCAGGGAGATGATGCAGCACAGATGGTCAGACACTGCTCCTCTGCCCTTCCTGGAGAAAGGAAAACACATAAAAATCTTCCCACTTGCACCAGCAGGATGATGGGAGGTGTTGTGCAAAGCACAGGATTCCAACACTGCCCGAGAGGAAGAATGGGATATAAAAGGATACATTCACAGGGAGACAGACTGTAGGTCCCATGTCACTACAATGCAGATAGTTTGGAATTGCCTATCTGCTCCCTGTGACCTCTCTTTTTCCTCTCTCCCTGGCAGAGTTCAGCATGAGGAAGCTGCAGCCACTGGTCTGTACCTGGAGCTCGTGGCTCCAGTGCCGTGGGGATGGGAGCAGGCTGTGCCATGGCATCCTGACACGCTGGAGCTCAGCAGGAGCTGAGCTGGACACTGCTGGACAGAAGAGGCAGAGCCTGTCTGAAAGCACAGTGCAGATGTGCCACAGGAAGGCAACCAAAACCCACTGTTTGCAGTTTTTAATGTTGTTATGTGGCAGGTTCTTGTCATGCTCTGTCACTCTGACCCGTCTGTTCTGATGTCAATGATTTGTATGTCCCAACTGAACAGAGCTTGTGCTTGCTGTCCACACACTGAGTATTAAACCTGACCTGCTGCACTGCTCTCTAAAGCATTGGTTTTTCATCAAGTGGAGAAATCTGTTGCTCCTGTGCCACAGTCAAACAAAAAAAAAATCCAGGTTCATTTCAGCTAAAGCCTCTCTTAACTACTTTTTATGTAACTAATTCAGGCAAATGGTTTCTGTGGTAAAGTAGCTTTAGGGGTGAAGCTTTATTTTATTGAAGACTTGAGGTGAATCAGTTCTTCAAGTACCTGCCAGCCTCTTTCTTACTCCTATAAAATGAAACTGCTCCAACACTGATCTTTAGTGAGACTCCTGTGACAGGGAGGGCAAATGCACAGGCCACATGATCTTGTAATTACACTGTTATTTGATGGCTCTAATTAAATCCCACTCTCCCAGCACTTGAACAGGGGCTGTGTGTGTTTATAGACACATCTCTGCAAATGGGATGATCCTGCTCTTTTAGGATATTAATTACAATTGACTTCCAGTCTCTAAAATCTGATTCGGTCCCAGAGAAGAGCCACCCATGAGTCACCCAACTCCACTGCCCACTGTCACTTTACCCTGAGCCTCCATCCTCCTCTTCCTCAGCTGTACAGGTGCTGTCACAGACACAGCTGTCCTGCTCACACAGCCCCAAATCCAAGGATGTTCCCCTTGAATCCCAGTCCTGCCCCTGTGCAGAGCCCTTGGCAAACACCAGCAGCTGCTCCTGGGAGCAGGGAAAGGGCTCCAGGCAGTGTGTGACAAAAACCTCTCTGCTCTTCCAGTGCTTAAGGCTTTGCCTGAGGCTTCCCTGTGGTGACAGTGTGGTAACCCTCTGGGCTGTGTTTGGTGGGTATTTAAATTAGAAATACACAGTTTAACAGTCAAACTGAGTGATGTGCAATGAGCTCACAGCATTACCCATGGTGTAACTATGACCTCCCTTAGAAAGGGGTTACTCAGCCCAAATTAATGAAGCACAAATTACTAAAAAATTCTGAAGACTTTGGTCTTCCTGCACCCATAACACAGCTTCAGTCCCACTGCCTCACCTTGGGTTTAGTTAAAGTGATAATAATCCATCCCTTCCTTCAGGTTCAGCATGTCCAGGTTTGCTTCAAACACTCCACCTGTCAAATCCTGCAAGGGGAGAACAAGAGAATTAAATCAATCAAACAAATTCATTTCAGGTTGTAACAAGTTTAGGTAACTTAGTTCTTCAGACCACAGAAGAAAATCCAATTCGCAGAACTAAACAAATAAACCAAAGCTCAGAAACGTTTCCATTCAAAAAATTAAGTGTCTGTTGAAAAGTTAGTGTTCAAATCAGTCTGGGGGGATATCAGACAAATCATCAGCTCACTCCTGTGCTGCTCTGTAGCTGCTCGGCCCAGCTCTGCTCCTTTTGTTTCCTAATGCAGGCACTGGCAGAGAATGGGCCAACTTTGACAAAACAAGTGGTTGGGCTGGATTTTGAGCACTGATTAGCTTGTCTGATAAAACAAACCTTTCATCAGGCAACTGAAATACTCTGCAGAGCTAAAGGTGTTTCCTTTTGAGCCCCCACTTGTGTTATCGGGACAGGAACCGGGGAGGTTTGTTCCATGAGCAACCTCAGTGATGTCACTAAGAAAACATGGCAACTTCAGCATTTCTGAGCATTTCTGCTGGGGTCTTCCTGGAGCCCTTAATCCTACTGAGCTTCAGGAATGCCACCAAAAAAAACCCCCAAAAACCTAATTAAAGCTGACAATACCAGAGGAGGCAGATAACACGATTGCTCATGTTCTTGTGTTGGTCCAGAGCAGCACCAGTGAAGTTTAAACAATGTAAAACACCACTGTGAGTGTGTTTAGGATGGGAAGTTACAAAACTGAATGCAAATGAAACAGTGGAATTAAAGAAGGTGGAATGCTAGACTTGGCTAGAAGAATTGGATTTAGAAAAAAATTACTCTGGGATCTTTAATGAACCTGAGTTTAGAAATGAAGGTTTGTCTCCCATGGAGGACTGTGCATCCAGCTTCCCCTGGACACACTGGGAGCATGTCAAAGACATTTAATGATTCTCAACATGCCAAACTAGTCCAGCTGCAGAACCTGCCACTCACATCAACAGGGAATTCTCCTCAGAAATGAAGGTCCTGATGTGACCTTTAGCCTCCACTAATGATTCCATAAACCCAAGATTCCACACAGGGTATGGAACAGTTGTGTTTAGCTTGCTGGAAAAACAAGCTGCTCTACAGAAGGGTTAAAAAGAAATATATAAAAGAGCCCAGATGCTAAGTGAAGTGGGAAAGTTAAACAGAAGGTGGCACAACCAGGCAGGGCTGCACAATAACTGGTCTAACAGCAAATTTTCTGAAAACTTTACACAATCACACTACTTTAATTGCTGCAACAGAAAAAATACAAACCCCTTTCATTTCCAGCCCTTGGAATCCAAGCCAAAACAGGGCACAATACAGCATTTTCTAAGTATTTTGCTTTTACCTCCAAGTGAGAGCAAACCCAGAGCACAAGCCCTTGGGTGAAGTGGTTCTGCAGTGGCTGCTCTGACCGGATACAGCCACACTTTTATCCTCCTCAGCACAAACTTACAAACACACAGCAGAATCCCAGCTCCAGCCCTTTGTGAAGCCACTATAAAATGCAAACTGAGCAAAGATCAGAGGATTCCTGCTTCATCCAGAAGGATTTGCACTAGTACCAAAGCCTGAAGAAATAAATAAGCCAACACTGCTCCAAGGACGTGGCCAATAGAGTCCCTTCTTGTAAACAACCCACTTAATAAACACATCTAATCTCCAGAATCACCCTCTTAGAGCTGCACAGAAACATGCAGGTTTTGTCTGTATCAAAATGAAAAATAATCCCCTACCAAGAATAGTAACATAAAAGCCAGTAAAGCCCCTTAAAGGACACCTCCTTCAGAAGAAGAATGGGGATAAACTTGGGTTGGTAAAGAATAAGCAAGCAGAAAATGCTCAGTGGAAAAATAGACTGAAATCCCAACTGAAGTCATGGAGCAGAGTTTTCAGACAAGATGTTGTATAATAGTCTCATTGTAAGGGCTTCCCAGATTAAATGTGCTTTAGAACAGGTTGCACAGATGTTTTGTCTGGGGACTTCAACCCGCAGTCGTACGTAGTATGAAAAATTCAATTAGTTGTAATATTACTTGCTGATCCAAGAGTTTTATCAACCAAGAGTACATGATAATGCCCTGAGGCACTTTCAGTCTGGCTTTACAACCCATAGTTATAATCTCAGAGCTGATGGTGAGGGCGGGAGTGCCAAGTTACAAGCAGGCTATACCAGAGGAGATGAGATTCAGCTAATCCATCTCTGAACAGATCTAGGACAGTGTTAAAACTGTCAGTGTTTGTGTGTAGCTGCAGGTTTTAGTTACTGTCAGAGAGTTTTTGACTAGTGTTTGCAACTGGAATGCATTTACTATTTTGCCTTAAAGCTTCTGTGTTATCCCATACACTGTGTTACAACAGCAAAAGAACTGCTGCTTATCATCTTTTAGTTATGTTATTAGGTCAGTTAAACCAATTGAAATAAGTTACCACAGTCAGGCACAGAGGATGCTTCAGAACTGGCAGTGCCAAACAAAAAGGCTTTTCAGGTCTGATTTAAAAAACAAAGCCTTTGCCATACATGGGGCTGCAAAATATCAGGACTAAAGGAGAGCAGGTGGCTGAGTGCATATGTTCATTTGTGTTTATAATGGTGTTGGGCAAGGAAGTACAACATCCAAGTTCCTGCACCTTTCCTTAGTCTTAATTTTACCCAATACTTCTGGTTTAAATTCCTGAAATAATTCCCTGCACAGTCAATTTGATTAAAAAAAAGCCATTCAATTGCCTAGCAGAAGCTTCTGGGAGAAGCTGCTTTCAGTAAATAGAAACTCATTTTCCCAAGGAGCAAATCCTGCTGCTGCAGGGGAAGCAGCAGGTGACACTCACCAGCTTCACACAGATGATGAAAGGTGGAGCTGCATCTCTGAAGTGACACACAGGGACCTTTGGTTTTGGTCTCTCCTGCAGGAAAAGGCAGCAGAGAGACACACAGGTGACTTGCTTGGTTTTAGGAGCTGCTAAACTCTAAAAGGAGAAAAGATTATTGAGAGCCCTCATGCTGAGCAGTGCAGCTGGTCCCACCCTCACTCCCTCAGTCCCTTATTCCTGTGCCATCACCTTTCAGTGAATTGTGTTTCTTTGAGTGAAGTTACACATCACACAGATCCAAATTTGGAGCTTTCTGCTGCTGAAAGGAGTGGGTCTCTCCTCCATTGCTTCTTCCTTACCTCCAAGCTTTCAGCTCTTCCCTAAACAATCCCCTCTTTGATTCCATTGCAAGGTATGCAGCTTCAACAGCCTAGCCCCCCAAAAATACATTCTTTCTTTTTCTGGAGGATTAATTTTTTGCCACTTTAGCGAGCTACATCAGCTCCTGTGCCATCAGAGAGCATCAGAGCAAAAGAGCAGAGATGGAGGAGCATCTTTCCCTCCCCGTGGAAGTCACTGAATGGCTTGTGCCCAACTGGGACTTCCCCATGGATCCCAGCTGCAGAATTTCCTAAGGATTCACCACAGGTTGCAGCACAACCTTCTTTATGACTGATCTGAGAGGATGGATACATCTTAGGAAGACAAATGCCCAGGATCTGTATCAATCATGCTGACACTGGTAGGCAGGGAGTCCTTGGCATTGCAGGTCAAAATCCTGAATCCCAATTTCTTTCATGCAGCTCAAAGCACTCCCTGGCTTCCCAGCACAGGACCTGACTGGACAGTTACTCCAGGCTAAGCAAAAGCTGTACCTGAGGAGGGGCCCCTCCTGCCCTTCCACCCTCCCTCAGTCCTACTCCCATCACACACAAGGATCTTGGAACCTCAGGATAATTTGATTCACAAGATAACTTGCTCAAAAACTTTTTATTTTGAGGGTTCCTTTCTCTTTTATCCACCATACACGAAATTCTACTCCCACTTAAAAGAAAAACCTGTCAGTGAAGACTGTGTTTAACCCCCCTCAGAATCCATTCAGAGTATGGATTGTTGCCTTTCCAAACTGACTGCAGTGAGTGTGAGGCCCACAGTCGTGGCTCCAGTTTGGACAGTGTCAATCCCCAGCCCTCCAGTCTTCTCTCACAGCCTCCTTACCAAAATGAGTTGCTATATAACATTTAAAATCAGTGAAATACTCCTTCATCACATTTCCCAGGACACTCCAGGTCACAGTAAGGAACACAAGAGTGGTCATAACTCACCTCAGATTCCTCGTAAGTGTAGAATCCTTTTGTTATTTTCTTTTCATCAACATCACAAAAGGCAATGACCTGGAACAGAGGAACAGAGCATTTCAGGAGCAGGGTTTCACCTGTAGTGTAACCATGGAAGGAATGCTGCTGGCATGGGATGGACACAGGGATAGGGCAACACACCCTGGGCCTCCTACAGAGCTTAAACATTTATTAAATCCTTTCTGGGTGTACCTTAAGGAGTTGGGCAAACTCTGCAGTTGTTTATGAGCACGTTCTGTTTTCAGGAGCACGAGGACAGGTGATCAAAGCCACTGACTGTGCAAGAGAACATCTGTGAGATCACCAACCTCATCCTCAGTGACGTGCTGAGGAACCTAAAACCAGAGACCAGTCTCCACATTTTGCACTCCCACTAAACACCCAAGATAATACAAACCTTCTTTTATATAATAAAGCAGAACAGAATGTACCACCAGACACCTCAGGACAGTGGTGCTGCAACCACTGCTTTGGGTGCTCTGGCAATACCAACCTCAATTCTAGGGCATAACACACCAAGTTTGGGAATTCCTACGGATATGGACTCGTATTTTTCAACTGAAAAGTTCAGCAGATTTGGTGTTTGAACACATATAATTACTGCTTCATTTTGGTTATTCTTACTGGAATTTTGGAAGCATTATTTGCAGCCCGAGGTGCCAAATATTTTAGATGGTGTTTTATTTCCTCATAAATATGCAGGCAGAATAAATGCCTGCCATCCAAAATACACAGTGGCCTTATTTTTTGAGCCATTAGGTTGCCAGGAACATTTTGGAAGACTTTTTCAAATAAACATAGCTGTGTCTTCCTCTGCCTCCCATTGGGTCTGTTCAGATGATCTATGTGGAGCTCTTATGCTGAAGCAGAGCAGTGGAGACAGTTGAGGTCTTACAGAAATCAATTATTCTGCTGAAAGCTGGATAGCAGCTTTCATATCTTTTTAATTGCTCCATTAAAAATTGATTAACAACACTTACTGCTGAGAAAATTTGAAAAGCCAAACAGCTGTTTATTAATTTATTAAGTTAGAGAAGGGTGCAAAAGCCTGGCTTGTTTTCCGTGTCTAAAAGCTCTCTCACACATTTTCTTCCTGTGATTAAGATGGTTTTCTTTTACCTAAAGTGACCTCATTCTGTTTGTGCAGAGGGAAACACTGGGGTTTTTTGATACCATAATATCACTTCCTTCATTAAACATCAATGGAGGAGAATGCAAACAAAAGTATCAAGGGATTACAAATAGGGCTGCAAACCACCACTGCATCTGGAAAATGAGCTGATAAACTGGAGGAGGTGGGCAGGGATAGTCCCTGGAACCACTTAGAGGGGGACATTCAGACCTGGGAAATGGGCTGCTTGAAAACAGGCACGAAAAGAAATAAAGATCAGAACATTAAGGAAAGGAAACATTAAATGCTCATGGTGGGGCTTTGTGACTAAAGGAATCCCATCACAGGCCAGCAGATCCAGACTTCTGCTCTGGATGATCCTGGTGCAGGGATTGCACTGAGGACACTTTACATCCCTGTTTCAGGCATTATAATGGAAATAAAAAGAAAAGAGGGAGTTCAGGGCAAAACTAGGAGATTACTGGACACTGTCCCAGGTGTTTGTGGCTGGTGCAGCTGGGTTAGACAGTGACACACACAAACAGCTCCTTCAAGCACAGGCTAAGAACTGGGGGAGTTTTTTTTTTCCTCTTAACCACAAACTGATAAAATTTTGCATCCCTGGCCCTATTTCCATGCCCACTGTAATGCTTTACTGGAGTTGAAAAATCAGATGGTGTGACCTGAGCACAGTAAACTACATCCCAAGTTTTCCTTTACCCACCCTATTTACATGTGTACATACATACATGGATATAAATACGTTGTGTCCATGAAGGGAAGCAAGTAGAGGCCACTGGAAAGAGGTTCCTTAGCTGTCTCCTCTTCATTCTGTGTTAAGCACCTTTAAAATTCTCCAATATTCTGCAAATCTCACTGTCACCACTAGTATTTTCCTGTCCTAGAAGCTGTGATCATAATAAAATTTAGCAGGGTGTTCCCTCACTGACAACCCAACAGAGTTCTAGAGATGAACACTGTCCAGTGACTTATCTTCCAGTAATTGAAGCTATTTTTTTCAGCTGCTTATGCTCCTATAGACATTAAAAACCAAAATAAAACACCAAAGCTCATGACACAAGGTAAAGTGAAATTCTATCTACACTTCACTGTCAGTAACTGGGAACTCAGCTGTAAGATCTGTGCTGGGAAGTGTCACAGTGTTCAACTCCAGAGTGTTAAAACAGTTAACAGAAACCCTGACTGGTGCCTAGACTTCTCAACATGAATTAATTTCTTCCCAATATCCAACCTAAATCCACTCTCTGTCAGTTTAAAACCATTTCCCCTTGCCCTGTCACTACCTGCCCTTGTAAATACTCTCTCTCCAAAGATAGTTCTTGTATCACTAAATTGCCAATAATCATAATCCTTCCTCTCACCCTGGGCCATAACTCAAAGTGCCAAGTGCCTTTTCCATCCTGACTCCCCAGAACATCCCACACATGAAACTGGGAAGAGCAGCTCCAAGAACAAAAATAATACAGGTGAGTCTGTGACAAATTTCTCTTGGAAAATAGAAACAACTCGAACCCTCTTCTGAGTTCCCACTGAGGTATCTCCCTCTGTAATTCTCAATGGACTCAGCCAGCTTAAAATCTGATATTTACAGTAGTGTAAAACAGGTCAGACTTGAATGGGCAATTTTTCTGCCAGGCAGTTCACCATGTGGGTGGCCAAAAATCTAAGTCAACTGTTTTTCTGACACACGCTATTTATTTTCCAATTAAAGCAAAGCCATGTCTGGAGTCTAAATACAGGACTTAGGCACAGTTGTTTATCCTATAAGGAGAACTCAGGGCATCAGGCTTATATGAGTTATTTACTTTATACTCTATCAGGATAAACCCAGAGTTACCTATTTATTTTCCTGCATTAATGGGCTTCTTTCTTGTAGCTTTTATGATGACCATCTACCCATACATGAACTCCTGCCTCCCTGGGAGGAACCTATGAATTATAAAGCCATAAAACAGTCTCAATTTGCTGTTTTTCTTCCCTCTTTTTAGCAAAAGGACTCTTTGGCAATGCCTCTGACAGTGTGACACCATTTAAGCTCACAGAGTCCTCATATCACACCTCAGTTTTAGCAAAATATATAAATCATTACATATTTTTGTTTTGAACATCACTTGTATGAAAATCTGTACAATTCCAAAACAAAGGAAAAAGACTGCTAATTCAGCTCAAAACTGGAGGACACAGCTGGGTATCTGTTATAGACAAGTTATGGAATTGCTGCAATTTGTATAAATATGGATTGCAACATCCATTAACAGTGGTGTAAGGGAAAAAAGGAGACATAGTTTTCTCCCTCATAGAGAAAGTTTACATAGCTCCAAAGATAAGATATTTACTCAAAAACAATCTCTGCTGGGGGAAGACACGTTTGAGGAAGATAAAAGCCCTTCTCTGGCTGGATCTGCCTCATAAACACAGAGGGACATCAGACCTCCCTGGGGAAAAGAGGATTAATGGGCAGCAGATTGATCCTCCTCCAAATATACAACCAAGGAAGTCTCAGAAGGACAAGGAATGTCACCAGGAATGACAGCAGAGTGGGTTTGGGGTGTGACTACCTGCCTGTTTGAGCTCTGCTATGATTACAATTAATTGTTTGTTTCCCAAGTGACTTGTTCTGCTGCAGGGAATGTTTCCTCACACTTCCCAGTCCACTCAGATTTCCTAATGGAAAAACTGAAAGATTTCATCAGCCCAGTGATGTCCTTTTATGGTGAATGATCTTCATAGGATTTTACTCTCTCACCTTATTTTCACCTGTGGTTTGCTTTAGCTCTGTAACCATCACTTACAGGAAGCAAGAAAACACAATTACAGCACATTCTCAAGGTCTGCTTGAGCTGGGAGGATTCCAAAGGCAAGTTTTACATGGGAGAGTGAATAACTGAGTAGAAGGTGATAGAAAACTGGAAAACCCTTTCAATAAATGGTCTCCTGTTCACTGTCTCCCCTCCCTCCTCGTTACTTCAGCTGCTCTCATAAAAGCCACCTTCAAAGAGACAACCTGCAAACTCTCCAAAATCCCACAGGAGCAGATCTTCCCTACTCCTTTCTCTCCATATCTCACACAATCCTCCATCTGTTTTAAACTCCCAGTGACCCTGTTAATTCTTCTATTTATAATTCTTCCATCCCAGCTTGCAGAAAGCCTCGGAAGCACGTTAATATACATCTCTGCAAAAGGGAAATCAATTCTGGCCACTCACATCAAAACAAAGCAACTGAAAGCATTACAATGCAAGTTTAAATAGATACAGCTAATGGCAAACAGAGCAAGAGACAGGCAGAGGCATAAACATCTCCAGAAAACAGCAAACAACTCTGTGCCACAAGCTGAGTGATTCTCTGCATCAGGAGCTGCTTTTATTTCACCTCTTCAGCCTTGCAGCAGGACAGAAGCTGTGGGTATCTTTAAATCCCCAGCAAGCATTTCATTGCTCCATTTAGACACTGTTCCACTGAGGAGAGCAGCAGCTTCCCCCTCTGCACATGATCCACAGCAAAGTCACTCAGGAGAATTTGAACACCAGAACCCAGCATGCAAAATAAGCTGCTGAACCCTGGACTCACAGAATTTCCCTTGTTCCATACAACATACACCTGCCTTTATATCTTGTTGCCAGTGTCTCATCTCTCTAGAGCAGGTTCCTCCTACCTGAGTCATGCCAGGAATGTTTCAGGTGTGAAATCTCTGTGCTGGCAAAACAGAGGCTGCCAAAAAGCACATCTTCTCATTTGGAAGGAGCAAGGAGCTTTCCTGGCCATATTTCACCCTGAACTATTTATTCTAGTCCAAAATGAAGCCTCTACTTTACCTCACATCATTTTAAGATGCTTTATACCTGGATTTAACTGAATCTTTCACATGTCATTTTTGTCTCTCCTTGTTCTGGAGGCTTTTAACTCACTTTCATGTTGTCATTCTACTTCTCACTCCACAGTCAAGGTGGGTATTTTTATTCTGTGTTTCTTTTCTTTTACATGTCCCCACTCCACTCTCCTGCTGCCCTTCATGTACTTTTAGAGTGGTTAAAATGCTACAAAACGTAGACATTCCTCTGTTCTGTGAAGGATCAGAGCTGAATCACATGGCTTGGTGATGCTGCTCTTGGAAAAAGGTGAAGAGAAACCGAGGGATGATTTTAAGTGGTCACTGAACCAGGAAAAAGGGCCTTCAAAGTACTTTCTGAAGCTTTTGAGTTTGCCACCAGCAGACAGTGTTGTCATAGAGAACCTTCAGGGCCTGGCTGTGTAAAGCACTGTTTCCAGGCCACTAATTAGTTGGTGCTTATTTCATCCTTTCCCCTCCTTTTCTGTGAGCCATTTGAGCCCTATTTTCAGCCCTCGGAAATGACACTAAACCTTAATGCTGAAGTTCTCCTTTTAGCTGGAGTCTGATGGAGAATAAAAGAGCAGACAAGACAGCTCAGAAAACCCTCCAGGCACATGTAGCATCCCAAAAAACATTTGGTTTCCATCTTCAGCTGGAAATTATAGACATGACGGATGTGTTTTAAACAAAAAAAGGTCTGTTTGACTTCATTCTTGCAGAAATGCTAATACTGAACCACTGTCAGTGGTGTGAATCAAGAAGGGAACAGCCAGGAAGCAGAATTTCCCTAAGAATACTGAGATCATGGTAATTAATTCATAAAAAAATCCCTACTAGTGGAATAATTTTTTTCGGGTGTTGCTGTTTAGCAAAAATACTGAGCCTTGGATTTTTGCCTGAACGCTTTGGAGACAAAGCATCATTTTAATATTCACCATCCAGATGGCTGAAGGAAAAGAGAGAATTGCTGAGGTGTCCTTTTGTCTTTTAACAGAACCATAATTCAAATTCACACTGTTTTCCAAACAGACTAAAGCAATAATTTGTTACTGAGTATGAACATACCCAGACCGCTGCTTCCTGGAATTGCCTAAATTTTGTTTTCTAAGAAACAATGCTGTCTGGCATGAAACAGAGCTGTGCTTTTCAAACATCCCACAAAGACCTAGTCAGCACAAGAAATGCAATTGCTTTGTTTATCAGCTTCTAAAAATACTAGAAACATTCCTCTTTTGAAAAAGATGGGTTTTTTACACACCCTAAGCTTGACAGTTCAAACTCATTAATCCTCTTCCTGAAGCTTTAGTAGATTTTAGGGTGGGGTTTTTTTCAGAATTACAAAATGACACAAGCTGTATGTAATAGGTTTTTGGGAGGGTATTATCTATCCTCAGGGTATGTGTCCCAAATTTTCTCCAGGTACTTAGTGCCAATTGAGAAAACACCCTGCTGTGACTCCACAGTCCAACCAAAGTCAGGCTCAGGACATCTAATGAAATTCTGAATCTCAATAAAAGGATGCAGCAACAGTCAAACAGAGCACAGGTGACATTGTCAAGAGCCTAAACTGACTTTAATTATAAAACCAACTAACGTTAAGTTTAGAGGGGTAAATTAAATAAATTTAATTACACTTTACAGCTAATTTTGGCAATTTTACCTGCATTTCAAAGGGTGATGGACCTTTTAAGACTACACTGTTTTATACAATGGACCTTCAAGGCAAGAAAATGACAATTGTATCAATGTAATAAATCATATTTTGCCCTAAGGGGCTTTGGAATTGTGTTTAAAAGGTGCCAATTTTACATAATTGATGAATTTGTATCCCAGGCCCTCCATTTGCAAGACAACATGAGATTCTACTTGTAGATTCAAAGTAATATTGAATCTCCAGTGTTCTCATAATTAACAGAATATATGAAAGCTTAAATCTTGTTAAGGTGGTCTTGAAAGGGTGAGACAGGAAAAGTATTTTGTTGTTTTTAGGGCTGGAAAGGATGAAGCAACAACTATTTACAACCTTTGTTCATATGGGATTTTAGAGTCTTTGGCAAGAGTTGCAGATTAGTCACAAAATACCTGAAGGATTTTTGAGGGTAAGTAGAACATGGAGTTTCTCTACCAACCTTTTACTGTTATTAATTTAGAATAAAATTAAAACTGCCACCAATTACCTACTGCAAATTATATGATTTTATTTCCTGAAACTCCAGCAGCATAATCCTTTGATTAGCTCTGGGAGAAGTGAGATGTTTTCACTACTTACAGCCCTTTGCCAGTGACTCACACAAAACATGAGGATATCATTTAAGTGTCAGCTCTGACTGAGCTGCACAGACTTGGGATCTCACTTTTGGAAAAGCCACGAATTTAGAGCAACAATCACAATGAGCCTGAACAGATACAGAGAACTAGTGCTTTAATCACTACAGGGAACAATAATTTAATCAGAAATTAGCCTCTGCTCTCACTTGGGATGACACAAGTCCTTTTCTGAAGCTATTTATCTTTGCTGGTTATTGAGAAAACCTCTTAATGCTTCAGATAACATGTCAGACTCGGGGTGAAGTCTGATTACTCTGCATAAGGTATAAAGGATCACTGTGCCTGCATTTTAGCAGTAGTTTTCTGCAGGACATGTGCAAAGTGAGTCACACTTGGCACATACAACTGCATCTGGCACGTCCTGAACGTGTCTGGAGCAGCATCCAGCAACTCATGGGTTAATGCTCAGTGCAATATTTCAGTATCAACCCAAACCATACTGGAATATGTGCAGTTGTAACCTTGACAGAAGCAAAACAGCATCAGGGCCCAGAGCTCTGCCAAAGCAAACGTTATGGAAAGGTCAGCTGGAAGGAACGCCGGGATCCAGCTAATTGGAACCACACTGCCCGTGCTGGGGTGCAGGGAGTGGGGGCTGTTCCCTCCTGGAGGAGAGCTGAGCTTGGCTTCTCTGGCAGGAAAGTGGCAAAACCCCAACAAGATTATTTTTCTCTTGCTCTTTTTATCATCTTTGCTGTGACACCTTCAAGTGTTTGTGTGATGTGAAGTCCTGAATGGGTCACCTACAGATGTCACCCAAAGCTGGAGAGGTGCTCTACCTCAGCATCCATCTCCATCTTGGCTGGGTACAAAAAAAAAAGCTAGAAAACAAAATAAAACAAAAAACCAACACACTTAAAATGATGCAACACTGCTACAAACCAACATGGTCTATTTTTACTGTAACATCTCAAAAATCTACCAGACCAGCTGCCATCTCTTCCCTCAGAGCTTATTTTCTAATTCTCCTAATTCTGCAGACAGAGAAGTGCAATTGTTTGTTGCTGGTTAGTCAGGAATTCAAACTGCTCAGCAAAATACTAACAAAAGAGAATATTTTCATCAACCCCCCAAAATCACACTGCACTGCATGGCCAAGGTAACACATTGAGTGGACAGGTCTGTCCTCTTTGACTGGGGACACACAGCATTTAAGCTCCTTTCTTCCTACAGTTCATCCCCTGCCATGTGATGGCAATGACTGAGGGATGGCTTTGGAATGGCACTGGAACATCAAGCAGGAAATTCAGTTCAATTTTTGCTTTGTGCATTGACTGACTGAGTGTCTCCTGTGTCTATTCAGTAATTTTAACTATGTGTATACAAATGTCTTCTATTTTTTTTCAGATGTGTGTGGTCTCAGGGCCACCACATTAATCAGGTTTATATATATATTTGTCATTTTGTCTTCCCATCCATATTCTTAAGAAAAGAAAAACACATCCAGCCATAAAATGAATGTTCTGTGGCTCTTTATAAAAAACAGCCATCTGACATCAGCCCTACAGCCTTTATCTAACAGAAAGTTATTGCACACTAGAAAATGCTATAAAAATAAGGTATTTAGAGTCTCAGACAAATCTGTCCTGAGAAATGTCTGCCACTGCCAAATATAAGCAACCTCCCCATTTTCAATGGACTGTAAATTGGACAGTCATGTGCAACAGTTTCCACTTGCCTGTTCACCCCACTCCTCACCCCCATTTTTGGCAATCAAGCTTCCCAAAGGGAGTCACAGCACAACTGCTCACAGGGCCGACCAGACTGATCAACATCCCACAGGGACCTGTCCAGCATCCACTTTGGAACTGGGAAATGTGTATGAACGAGCCTGGACAAGGCAGTTTAGCATCACATCATCCAAATAAAGAGTTACTCTGCTCACCCTGAGTGCTGGCTACTACAGACCAGACCCTGCTGTACAGTGTAACTCACCTACTGCTGCACTGAGTTACCAGCATGTTGTTTCTGTACACACCATAAGCTCTAAATAAAGCAACATGGCATTTTAAAAGAAAAAACACATCATCTGGAATATTGAGGATTGCCCCAATTTATATCAATCATCAACCAGGACTTTTGTGGACAAAGTATCTGATGAGATATTTGCTACATTACATCAGAAGTGGCACAGGAAAGAGAAGAAGTGGGTTTGTGCATTTTTTACCCACTTACTAGCTCACCTTTTTCCTATTAGCTGGTGACAAACTTCTGTAGAGCTTCTTGCCTTGTTTGCCAGCATTCCAAATGGTGAATGATGTCCAGGAGCTCAGGACTCTGTCCTCAAGGAATCTGACTCGGTGGTTCCAGATGGTTCCCCTGGAGAGTTAGAAAAGGGTGGATTTTGACCTGTGAAGCTTTTAGCATCATATATTATACAATAATATGATATATATTATTATTATACATAAAGCAAATACAATATTATCTATTATTACCCTATATGCATACACTCCCCTACATGTAAACCTGACCAAAGTGATTCACATAATACAAAAAAAAATCACACCAAAACATTATTTATTATTAGTGATTTAATTGTAAAAGTTCCAAAGTATTATTCTGCAGTGACACAAATGTGACTGTGCCTTTATTTCATAAGAAACTGCATTTCTAGGAACGAAGAGCAGCGGAAATTTTTTATATTTCTTTTTTTTGGATGAAGGGGTACGTCTCATAAAACTTCTTAAAACATGCTCCAGGGAAAAAAAAAGCAAGTTGGTAGATGTCTACGTCCAATTACACCTTCATGTCTTCATCTTTGGGATAAGTTCCACAAGATAATTTAAGCCAAGTGGTTGAGGTAAACAACTGTGACAGTAATACCAAATGATGAACCACATGGCTCTGGAACAGCCAACAGCTTTAAACACTGAGGGCCCACTGAGAGCTTCAGTAAGTTCAAGGCAGGTTCTCAAAGAGAAGACAATGTCAAGGAAAGCAGTTTGTTTTCCTCCCAACTGGCAAATTCACTTTGACAACTACAGCACTTCCCATGTGTGTGTGTGTGCTCCACCCTATAAAGTAACATTTAGGACTGCATCATTTACAGTGGATTAAAGGAAACTGCCTGCTCTTAAAAACATCTGCTTTCTGTCCAGGGTTCATTTAATATTCATAACTTATCTCAGACTTAACAAACAGTTTTCTTGATAGAATACCTTGATTTCCTCAATTTATGCCTTGACAAATGAATCTTCCTAACCTACATCTCCTGAACAAGGCACCTTGAGTTGAAACTTTCTTTCATAGGAAATTCTGATGAACACCTAATAGTGTCTCCTTTCTGAAGGCATTTCTTCAAATGGGTTTTTCCATTTGCTTATTCCCATCATTCCATCACAGCCCCAAGCTATGGGTCTGAAAACCCTCATAACACTCAGGCAAAGGAACTCTTGCTGGGATTGTTTCTTAGATCCAGCAATTCACTTCAGCAAAGCCAAATCCTGCTTTGCACTTCATCACTGACCCTGGTGTGGTAACTTGGAAAGGGCTTCATGCACAAATGAATGTACCCAAGCACAACAGCTACTCCACATAAAACCTCCCCCCTGTTTGGAGGATGACGATCGTGGACCAGCATTTCAACTAATGGAGGGAAAAAACTCTTGGATTTGATCACAAATCTCTTCTAATGCAACCACAAACTGCATTCCTGCTTGAACTGCTGCTGGCATCCTTTGACACTTGCCTTTTTCCATGTTCATTAGAGCACAATATATTCCCAGAAGGAAAGTTAAAGGAACCAAATATGAAGGTCAAGTGTTTTTCCAGGATCGCTTTACTAGAGTCTTTAGAGCTTCTGCTCGCTTCTAAAAAGGAAGATTATTGCTTTGCACGTAAATGGAAAAGTTTTTAAAGTGATTTTCCTTTGAAATGTGACTTCAGAAGGATAACACTGTGTTACATTCCAGAGGAATTTCAGAACCTGTTCTGTTGGTTTGAGTGACACTGGCAAGTTTCTTTTCCACTTGAGTTTGCAACGTTAAGAAAGCAAAATTAAAAACCAGGCAACCTCACAAGGCATAAATAGAATTATCAACTAATTTCTAGTTGCAGTGCAAACACTGCAATCCACCTCCAGGTGCACAGAAACTGTTTTTAATTGTCATGGAGATCCCAGCACAGCAGTATTGGCTCTTCCAGACAGTATTTGATGTCCAGGTGATGGGAGCCTCTATGCCACAAAAGTCCCTATGCAGGTAAAACTCAAATCTCATTGTTAACAGAACATTTCAGACTGAAGCAGATTTACTGGTCCCATCTTACCTATGAATGTTATTTTGAGAAGTGTAAGTGGTGAAAGTATGTAAGGGAACTGCACTCAGAAATAAAAGGACATAAAAGTTATCAAACTCCAAATTAATTGGAGCATTGTTCAGACATAAGAATACTGTCACACAGCTTCGTTTAAGCACCAATAACCAGCTTTCTTAAGCACCTATTTTGGGTTCTGAAAATGAAACCAGTTGTGAGTTTTGTTTGCATCACTATGAGGCATTCTGCTGACAATGCTCACAACTTACAACTCACCCATTGTACTCTTCTCCATTGAAAAAAATGAAGTTATATTGAACACTTTGCAGTCTAGAGTTAACCACCGAAATATTTTTAACAGTGCAAGCAGAGATAAATACAGGACTGAGGGGAGAATTTGTGACTGACTTTAGAGTGACACTCACAGACTTCACCTTTGTTTGTGCACAGCAGGTTTTCAGCATCTCACACGTTGAAGCAAGAGATGCTCAGGGGGTGTCAAGGGAGAGTTTCGGTTACCCCCGCTCAGGTTTCCAGTTCGCCTCATTTGCCACATTTTTTGATGTTTCCAGAAGAGATAACTGGGATTCCTGCCTGGAGGGATAAGGGAATGCCACTTTCCCACCCTTTCCGAGCCAGTGCAGGTGCAGCAGACAGGAGCTGCAGCAACGTGCAAAGGATGATTAAAGCAAATGCCTGAAACGATCCAGGAGTTGGACAAACCACTGCCGGGAGAGGATTCTCACAGCTATTTTCAGATTATGCATTATTACACATTCATAGCCACCAGCAACACCTAGGAGGTATTATTACTCCACATCACCCCAAATCAAGGCTGCTTTTCCTACCCAGCTCAAAAAGGACTGGAGAAAGCAATTTGCAGCAGCCTTTAGGAGCATTTCCAAGCCTGTACTCAGCTCACAAGAGTCTCCTCAGCCAGAAGGTGGGATAAAATTCTTCTCACTGTTCAAGTTTGCTCCCATATCCTAATACCCTATGTCCCTAATTCTTGAAATACATTATTTTCCCCGTTTCTTTCATTTTCTTGTCACATCTTCACAAAAGAAACGTTAGAAGTATGCATTTTTTCCACTTGGAAAGCCATTGTTGGGGCTTACATAATTTTCCTAAGCTCTCACTTGACATGGCCCCTCAATACTCATCAGTTATGTTGTCTGGAAGGAAGAAGAGGAGCCAAATTTCTGCAGGAGTGAAATGAGGGTATTCATGCAGAGGGTGAGAATGACTATGCCGTGTGTTCCTCAGCCCCAAATAGTTATTACCAGACCATCTACCCAAGTAATGCAACAATGGTGCTCTGTTAGAGTGTGTGGTGACCTCCTGACTGAACACAGGAGTCAAGAAACATCTGCTCTACTCCTATTTTGAAATGAAAGATAATGTGACAATAAAAGCAACATGATTTAATGTCTGAGCTCAGTCAAACCTCACCGTACTGTTTGAGAGCCTTTCCCCTCCTTCCCCCAGTGAGGCTACATAAGTGAATCAGCAGAGCAAGGACAGATGTACAACTACTTGAGAAATGCAGAAATACAAGCCCAATGTCCTAAACAGCACTGGAATTTTAGGCATTGATTGCCATCCCCAGTAACACTATAGATCCATAAATCTGACCTTTTCTCTCTACACTGGCCCCCACACTGCTCAGGTGACACCAGGCAGGAAGAGGAGCTGCCCAAGTGAACAGCCCCTTCCAGTGGCTTTTTACTGATGGCAGGATAAGAGAGTTCTGGATTATGGGTGAATCTCACCTGATCGATAAACCAGAGGTGGAAGAACAGAGAACTTTTTAACCACAGTGAGAGCTGGAAGAACAGAATTCAAGGTCCTCACAGTCCACAGGAAATTCAGAAATAAATCCCGTTTGAACCTCGGCCATGCTGGTGAATAAACTGATATTTTTTTGTCGTTGTTGTTCTGTTGAACTTCATGTGAACTTATTAATTGCTGGACTATATCGTCCTACTGAGTTATTACATTTACACTGTTAATAGGTTCTATTAATGTCTGAGTTCATCCTCAGGTCACTGGTCATTAGCTGAGGCATGGTTTGCATTGTGGCCTATTTTTCATGAAAGGCTTATTAAGAAAGACAGAGACTATCAATGTTAATGGCATCTACTTTTCAAGAATCTAATGAGGTCATTAGTTTCCATGTTTAATTGAAGTGCCAAATGCAAGCATGGAAGATAAAAATGCAGTTGACCTCATCTTTATTTCAGCTGTACAGGAATATGTTACGCTATTCCTCTCTCCTGCCTATTTTTGGATGTGTATGTTTTTGCAGGAAATGAAGGAGGCATTCCTGTGCTCATCACTGATAGAGACCCAGAGCACCTCTGCAACAGCCAAATGTTTCAGGCCAAGTGCCTGTTCTCCTTTGCTCAGATGACACTGGAAACTTCCAGCGTTTGAAACCAGATGGTTTCAATAGATTATGTAATTTTGGTTATTTCTGCAGACCAATATTATACTTGTTCTGAGTACAGGGATATGAAATTACTGAGCCCTTGTAGATGCACTTCACCTTTTCTGCCTGAAACAGAGCCACCTGAATCTCAGACAGAAGGCATAAAACTTATTTTCTGCATATAATTAAGTTTTTCTTGACTAAAAAAAAATGTATATTGCTACAAGGATTAGCAAAGTTCCCCAACCACCTGTCTGTGAGCAACGGTGCCCAAAGACAAGTGCACTGGTTTATTGCTCACCTTGTTCCAAGTTGGCTTTCATCTCTCAGTGAGGTACATTGTTGTATATACAGTCCCTTTCTCTCCACTTCAGCAAGATAAAGATCTGTGAGTTTTACAGTGTTTTTATTATACATCAAACTCTCTTACTCCAGCACTTCTCACTCCAAAGCCAGCTCTGATATCACACCAGTGCAAAGTGGCTCTGCAGCCCCGAGCACACACAGCCCTGGGACACAAACTGCAACGTGAGGCAAAGCGATTCAGATCCAAGAGGTACAAGGTGTGGGATTTTGGGTTGTAAATTCCTGGCTAAAGATCCTCAAAACTTGCCTTGCTCATTCCCATCCAGCAGGTATCCATCCCGGACTGGAGATGAATGTCTATATTTCTGCACGCTCCTAATGAAATCTAAATATAGACACTGAACTTGGTGCAGATTCTGTCACGCACCCAGAGCACTTAATAACACAGACTGATGGCCCCAGGGTAAGGGAGAATGCAAATAAGGTTGTGTTTCCTGCTTCACAGATATTCTCAACTCCAGATATTCGTTCCAGAAGGATACTAATCATAGGAAATGACCTAAAAAACATGAGTGTTTGCAATTATACACGCTAAACAAAAAAAGAACCAAATGTCACTTGCCAAGTAGTTGTACGTATATTTTAGGAAGTCTGAAAGAGCAAAGTCAGGCTTTTTTTTTCCCCTGCACGGTTCTGAAAGACACCCACATAAACTGAAATCAGTCCATCACAGGCTACAAGTGACTGTTGTCTTTGCTGAGAAGATGGAATCGTGCACCTTTGCATAAACAAGTCCTGGTAACCAGCTCTGCTGTTTAAGACTGAAATTAGGCATAAGTGTTAAAAAAAAAATCCAACTTTCCTACAAGCATAATTTTGATCTCAGACAAGATCTTAATCTGGCTGGTGAGTTACTATTTCCAAATCCAGGTCTGGGCTAAGTCAAAATTCGAAGATGACATGGGCCAATGGCAGAAAGACAAATACCACAGAAAACTGCTCAACATAACAACCCCCCCCCAAAAAAGGCTTCTAGAAAAGCCAGAACACGCAAATTAAATAAGGTGGGGTGACCACAAGGCGAGTTAGGCAAGACTCAATTTAAATTATAAACTTAAACCTTTGTGATGAGCTCGTTAATCTCTTTTTGCTCAACACGCACCTCAGTCTTCAGACACAGACACTTGCCAACCCTTCAACAACGTGGGCAGCAACGAGCCAGGGTGAAGAGCTGTTGCACAACCTCGTGTCTGGAAGCTCACACCAAGCATCACCACCACCAGGGCCAGCAGAAAGCCAAGGGGAAGAACAGCCTCCCCTGATTTCTCAGAACGAGACGCGAAATTTGGAACGTCCCCACCGCACATCTGAAACAGCTCCCAGCGTTTCCACATTCCCCCAGCGTGCTGTAATTCAGGGGGCTTGTGCCACACAACCTTGTAGATCTGGATAAGCAACAGCTTGCAGTAAATTCAAAACAAACCCGTTTCCAAGAAAAGGATGCTTTCCCACAGATACAAGCAAAAGGCTTCCAGGAGCTCCAGCGTCCCACGATGCGTGGCTGAAAAGCTGGCCACTGAGTGCCAGAATGATCCCACACTGAAAGAGGGGAAAAAAATCCCCCTCAAACACCAACAAAAAAAAAAAAAAAAAAGGAAAATAATTTACCTCACGCTTGTTTGTGAAATCCAAATAATATGTTCTATTTGCTTGGAATGACCTTTTCATAATTAAATTATTTTATAGGCATATATATGTATTTATATAAAGATCTATAGTGACATGATCACTATATCACGTGCTATTTATGCTTAGCATGTTATAGTATTTACAGCAATACAAGAACATAGTGACAGACAATCAAAATGCACACAGGAATGTTTTAGTTTTACTACTCAGCTCTACAAAGCCACACATCTATGACTGAAAAGTGCGTTTATATCATCAATCAGTAAGAAAACAGGTTTACTTAATTACCACTGTGATCCTGGTGTGGGACTCCTGAAGAGCAGTAAAACTCATGTAATTTTCTATTAATGTCAGTGCACAAGAGAAAGGAACGACTTTGGCTCAATTTGCAGCACGTTGAGGAATCAGCAACTGGCAATTCAACATCTCCTTTAGGGGCTGAGCAGCCCTGGAAAGGCAGCAGGGAACTGCTTACAAGAAAGCACCTGAGATAATTACCCTAAACATCCTCAGGGATTTTTCAAACCTCATCATTTGATTTAGATGGTTTAGACCCTTTAAAATAGGAAAATAATATATGTAAATGCAGCACATTATCAGATTAAAGGTTTGGGTTTGTTGGGGTTTTCTTTCAGAAGGAGGTTTTTGTTGGTACTACAAGTTTCTGTTTACTTTTTAAAAATTGAGACAGCGATTTTGAAACTAAGGTTTACCATTTTAAAAAAAATTATATATATATATATTTACATTTTTATATTATGTTTGACATGGTAAAAACTATGAGAATGAAACCCTCACATATTAAAAATCCCAATTAAAAACCCCAATAAAATTTCACCACTAGGGTATATTTTAAACACATTCTTGCCACCATGTTCAAAGTATTGAAGAAGTTATTGCTTCACTGCTTGCTTCACCCTTTGCTTCTGAACAGGGATTCATCAGATCAGGTACAGAACCACACAAGTGATTCTTTATTTCTGTGAGGGCAAGAAATCCTTTAAGTTTTTGATTTTAAATTTTGAATTTTTAAATTTTAACTGTAAAGGTGCTTTAGAGGAGCAGGGAGGTTACTCAGGCAGGTTCTGAGATCTCATGTGATGGGCTGCAGAGCCTGAAGGAAGAGTAACTGGACACTGGGAAAACAGCACTGCTGTAATGCAGCCCCCAAAATGCTCCCCTGTTCTTACAGTACCTACTGTGAAATTATTTCAGAAACAGCTGCAAGGAAAAAAACAATTTCTTAGAATATTTGCCAAATATTGAGGTGCCCCCAGCCCATTCCTGCCTCACCAAGCCACAGACACCAGTGCAGCGACAGCCTGTGGGCAGCAGGATCTGCACCAAAAGATTCCCATTCATAATTTCAATTCCAGCATTACAGGATGTTACCCCAAAGCAATTTATAGCAAGAACAAACAGAAAACTGACCTTCCACCATCAAAACTGCCAACATATTTATGTAACGCTTGCTTTTCAGCCTTTTTAAACAAACAAACAAACAAACAAACAAACGCACACACGACCGGGTAATTGTTTTGCTGTGCAACGTCTGGAACACATTAAGCATCTTTGCTGCCTATCAACCACAATAAAGGCAATTTTTCATTTCTCCCAAACCCCACAACTTACTCCAGGACGGAATGAGTCGCAGCCTGCGGGTGGTACCGGTAGAGCAGGAGGCAGCGGTTCACTCGGAAGACCTCACCACCCTTCTGGATGTGCTCATAAAAAAACAGCAGATCTTCTGGGACCCCCTGGAACAGAAGCAGTTATTTCACACCAGTCAGCGACCAGCATTCAGTTACACCTGAAGATATTTTGTTTTCTGCCAAATGAATTTGGTTTAACATAATTTTTATTCACAGACACAACTTCTGTATTACCCAGAGAGGTTGTGGCTGCCCCATCCCTGGAAGTGTCCAAGGCCAGGTTGGATGGAGCTCAGAGCAACCTGGGCCAGTGGAAGATGTCCCTGACCATGGCAGGGGGTGGAACTGGATGATCTCTAAGGTCCCTTCCAACCCAAACCATTCTATGAGATTATTTGTGTACATCTCAATGAATTTATCTAATGTGTCGTGAAATAAATGTGGCTAAAGCTACTAAAAACTCAAGCAGTGCTAGTTAAAAACGAAGTGCAGCTGACTGCAAGGACAGAGGTGGAAGAATCATCTTCATCATCTCATTTTGACAGGGATATCAAGCTTGGTACAGGTTAATCCAAAATGAAAGAAACCCAGCACTGAACAGTTTGTGCAGCCTGAAGTGCCACATAACCAAACAGTTTATACTGAAAGGGATCAGTGACTTCAGAAGAGTGTTTTTATGTTGTGCTAGAATTCCCCTTCTTTCCTTGGTTGTCATACAAATACTGGTCTCTCCCTAGGAAAGGTGACTCAGGCCCCACAATAACAGGCCTCAATAAAAGCCTGAATAAAAGCAGCCTCAGAATGAGGCAACATCTGAAAACAGAACTGCTTGTTTTTTGAAACTTCCTTCCACAGTACATTCTTTTTATTGGGATTGTACACAATCCTGATGAAACACTGCAAGAAAAAAGCTCCTACAATTGTGGATCTAGCAGGTTCTAGGAAATATTAGAGGTTTCACAATCATTTGCAACATTTCCCACCTAAAAATCAGAAAACCTTCATGCCAGAGTTAGTGTCAGAAGGGCAATCATATGGCTTGTGGTATTCAATTACATTTTGTGGCATATGAAAGCATAAACCCACCTTTAAAGCCTTATATAGAAGGTAAAAAAGTAGCATTTATTTATATTTTGCAATGCTACAACTTCTTGAAACACATTTTTTCGCGTTTAAATAGACACTTCTTCCCTCCAACCCAGTGTTTAAAAGGTCACACGGTTTTATCAGACTAAAAAACTCTGATATATAAAACCAGGTGGGTCAAACAAAATATTTCGGTGTAGAAACAATAAAAAGCTGAAATATAACAACAAAAAGTTGAGAAGGAAAGGAAAGGAAGGAGACTGAAATACATTTCTTTCTGTAGACAATGAATAACCAGGGCATAAACCTCAAACTCAGTTTTAGGCATTCTATTTCAACCCAGAAAAATAACAAGAGCCTGAGTTTAAAACAAACAAACAAACAAACTGAATTTTCCCCCATTTTCTGAGTTTATTCCATAATTAAGAAAATGAGATTCTCTAATTAAAGTGTTGGACACAAAACCCCTCTGTGGTTTCTTCTGGCCCTCCAGTTACAAGAGCAACACAGTTCAGGGAGTGTTTCTCATACCCACCAGGCTGAGCAGTCGAGGGGGTGTTAGAGAGGAAGAGAAATGAGACAAGAAAAAACTCTGAACCCTGAAAGACAACTCCAAAACACTCAGTTGAACATATGTATCTTGAGAGAAATCACAATCAACTCCAGTTCTGGACTTTGCAGCTCCAGAGCTCTCTCTGGGACTGATGTAAGACACCGAGTTGGGCCACACTCCCAGACTCTGAATGAAATGGGCTCTGCTCTGCTCACCAAGGGCAGCTCAGCTGGAGTTATTGTCTGTCTTTGCAGATGTTTGTCTGACTTCTGGTTTAAGAGCTGTGATGCAGAAGAAAACTTTTAGAGAACCTCATACAATTTTTGTGGACCTACCCTGAAAGCCACAAGAGAAATGTGGGGGAAGCTGGAGCAGCTGACAGCAACCACAGTCATCAAAAACACAAGAAACACACAAAATTAATTTCTTTTTTATCTTGTAGGCCTTCCCATATTTTTCTTATTCTGGACTCCAATGGAAATACTGAGCCAGCAGCAAAGTTTAAACCTATTTCTCTTTTCCAGTCACACACCAGACCGTGTCATCAGGGCACAAATTCTGCAGCACGTATCAGTTTGCTGCAGGAGTCATATTTTGAGTCAGGTCTCTGATTACATCACACACATATCAGCAATTCCTTCTCTTTAGGATCAGCATTTACATTATCCAAGACAACCATTAATATGAATATTTAAGAAGAGTTACTGCAAAAGTAAAAGGATCCTTCAAAACGCTGCTTGGTTCCAAGTGTTCTTCTGCTTCCCTTTAACTGGCAGAAATACTCTGGAATGAAGTGCACTCAGCCCTAGGAAGGAGCAGGTGCCTTGTACTGCTCAGCAGTGGCCTCTCAGATTACAAAGGAGCAGCACAGCCACGCATTTTTCAGGGCAGGAAAGATGTTGACTGTGTTATGGATCCTGCAGGGATGGGACTTCCTAAGGCTCTTGAGCGTGCAAGTTTGCTGCAACACAAGAGTTTCTTCCCAACTGAGATCTATTATTGGATCCAGACGGCACTTTAAGCACCAGGAATCTTTGTCAAACAACACAACTTCAAAAGGAAAAGCTGTTTGACCACTAAAGGGATATTTTAACGTATTTTTTGAAAATTAATATCCATAGCTTAAACTATCAGTTACCAACCCAGCATTTTAGCAATAGGTTACCACATCAATAGCCTTCAGCACCAATGGATACAATTAAATTGCACAGTTTACATGTTACTGGACTACATACAGAATTTTCCACATCACAGGCAACACCCAACTCTAAATCCTCTGCTGCACTCAGGGATAAACTATTCCAGCTCCCAGTGAAAAGCACAGCCTGCCCCTCTCTGCTGTAACCAAAATGCACCAGCCACATGCAAAAGCATTGTTTACTTTATCACATTACTACTGAACAGGTCAAGGGTTTGTGTTTACCCAGGATTTTGGGCAGGCATCCCTTGCTGTGCTGATGGTTGGCTGTAGGGATGAGGGGACTGATCTTTTATACACCATGGGATGTCAAGCAGAACTTAATGAGTTAAACTAACTCCTTGTTCAGGGATCAAACTAAATTATCAATAATCCTTCCCTTGTCTTCTCATCACTCACTGTTGTCACTCCTGGCAGATCACTGTCCATCAAATAGTGCTCCAGCCACCTCAATATATGTATTTTCCAAGGAGGTTCGAGCTTCCAACCACTACAACAAGCAATTCTGGTTACAATTCTTGCAGCTTCACCATCAGTAATGGTGAGGAGCACCAGTAGGGATGAAGATCAGCAGTTTTTGGAGGACAATGCAAGAGTGACTCTCTGTGCAATGCTGTAACACTTGATAAGATCATGTTGTAGCCCTGGGGTGACCAACAGTAACTTCTGCAGCACTTCAGGCTGACAGGAGTCCTTTTTTTTGGTGTCTTGGACAGAACTCACCATTAGGCTGTACAGGCATAAACACAATAAAAGAGCTGGCTTTTACTGCTAAACCCAGTGTAGGAGAGTGATTCTGTGGCACAACCAATGTGTCCTACCTTCCTCATCGACCTCTTTCCCCTCTATCCAGCTGCCTCTCGGTCTCCTTTGACATGGTACCCTTCCCTGCCCACTTCCAGTGCAGATTCAGCCTGTGCAGAGCAGTCTGACCAGTGAAAATGGGAGATTTCAAGAATACACACATAACAAACAGTGTGATGACAAACAAGACAAGAGAATTATATCTATCCACACAATAAAAAAAAACCCTTCAGTTTTGGAAAAGCTCAGTCCTTCCTCTTGATCAGGGGCATCAAGGAAAACTGGACTATAACTTGGTACTCCTTTTGTAAACCAGTCAGCAGCATCAGGGTTACTTGGATAGAATATACCAAATTGCTTTAATTCCTCAAAGGAGCTTAAAATTGGTGAATGGAAAGAATTAAATAGCTGTTAATAGCTTCTCTACAGGATTATCCAATATATTCTTAAGTCTTTCTTGCTGCAGATCTGTCACTCCATTTTTTGGCTCCCATCCAAATCATGCCTTTACATCATTTTGCCTTGATTATAGGACCCAAAGCCTGTAACATTTACTTCATTGTTTGGAAATAACAGGTTAGAGGAAACTCCAAAAGGCTGCTTTCATCCAAATGCCTTGGCACAGAGAAATTCAGTTAAACAAAGATGATGGGGAAGTCAAATGGAAGGGAGCTGGTAAATTCTAAATGATATTTAATAACAGACCAGCAGAAAATGTAATTAGACACGGGGTATGGGGTGAATTTTCAAATAGCTTATAAAGTGTAATTAATCATTGGCTCCACCAATCTTCTTTCCTTTTTAGATCAGATATCTATTTCTGTTCAGCATTAACAAGCAGTGCCTGTGTTTTATCCAGATTTTCCCCCAGAGCACCTTGATCGGTTATTTGACAGACTGACAGTATTTTAATTCATGTTCCAAAAAAACCCAAATTCCTACTTAGCCTTTTACCTCTCAGGCATTATTGTAACCACTTGCCTTTCTGGAGGGCATGGCATTTGTGTGCTCTGGCAGAGAAAAATGGAAAACTGCATTAGTTGGTGCCTAACAGCCTCCAGAGTTACCTCAGAGCTTCACTGCACGGCTGCAGTCTCCTGTGCACCCAGGGATATTTTGACACCTCCTCAATTCCTGTTTTTTCTGACCTTTTATCACAAAAATAGATCAAAACTGAGCTCCAGACACTTTGTTTGGAGCCACAGTTTGTATTCAGAAAGGCCAGTGGCTTATAATACTCTATTCCATCTGGGGCTCATTATGAATAATTTCCCCCCTGTTTGCACTTCGAGATTAGTTCAGAACTTTAAGGCTGTCACTCCATTTTTAGTTCTCACACACTTAAAAAAGGAAGGTTAAATACAGAGGTGACAGGAATTTGGGACAAAGCTGTGGTAAAACTCTAGAGAAAGAAACAAGTTTGGCATATAAGATGTCAAAAGTAATAGTGCCTGGAGAAAGCCAAGACTGTACAATTTTCCACATTTCCACGGAATGGAGTCTGCAGGTTAACAATGCTCATTTGTACAGCTCTTATTGTACTCAGCATTTCTCACTGAAGTGCCCTGTTAAACATATGAAGCAATAACTTTGCTTCCCTAATAACAGACACCTTGTCCACCACTGCACGTGACTTGTGAGTTCCCCACTCTAACAGATGATACAGCTTCAAAATGTGCTTTTCACATTATACCAGACACTTCTGGACACAGTTATTACTTTTCAACAATGGTGCTGGTTATTAGAAGACACCAAAAATTACAGGAGCAATCCCAGCCATGCAGGTAATGCCACACTAAATGTCAAGTGTGAGTTCTGAAGGGTTTACAGAAGGTCCTGCTACTTCTTGCAGTAAGCACTGCACTCTTTATCCAGACTTGCTGGATAACAGGAAGATTATTTCCTTTTAGTTTCCTAAAGAAGTCACAAACGTGGTTCACATGACTCTCCTCCTAGCAGGGGATGCTGTTTAAAATGTTACTTTATAGGCTTGTGGCCACTTCCATTGTATTATCTCAGTCTCAGCACACCACCAGAGCTGGCTAAAATTCTCTACTTCTCAGTACTCCTGCTTTAATTATCATTTATCAGAGGTTGCACCTCTACCATTTTAGTTAATTAGTGCATAAAACAAACCTGTCAGGTTCTTAGAGATCATTTATGAAGATCTTATCTAGGATTCTGCTTGGACATTGCCACAGTGATTACCTAAAAGGACTACAACAACTAATCCTAAAAGGATTCCCAACAACTGCAGACCCTGTCCAGAAAGAACTTTACTTCTAAAAAATGTAAATATTTTTTTAAAATCTGTTTCATTTAGAGCTCGGATGGCTGGAGATATAAGTACATATCTACCTGGAATAAAAAAGGATTGCACCACAGCTTATCTATTTGTATTTTATCAGTCCACCCATAAACACCACATCACAATTTCTTCCATGGAAGAATTACCCTCCGTTTGTTCTAAGCACTGAAATATGAAGAACAGGTGTTTGGATTTCATTTCAAATGAGAAATGCAGCTTTTTGGCACTGAAACAGTTTAGCAAACGGAGAAGGCCAAGACATGGAGATTTGTTGGCCTGTTGCTGTGTTTACTGGCAGCAACAGGACACTTGCAGGTCTCACTGTTAAATACCAACTCAAAAATGGAGATGGGTGTGATCAGATGAATACAGAGTGTGGGTCAGGTCAGAACATCCACAGGGATGATTCTGAAGAGTCCTCAGTATAGTTTGTAACAGCTCCACTGATAACACAGAGAAAAATCTTCCTTTGCCTCAAAGGAATTCTTTTCAAATGAAAATGAACGAGTTGGAGCAATGCTAAACACTTTGCAACACTAAACAGTGAAAGATTTAGGACTTGATGTTGTGTCCTCTAAACCCACAGAGGACAAAGGTTTGACTTCATTGCTCGTGTCCTTCGCTTTGTTCAGCCCCTTGTTCACAGGGTGTTTTCTGAAGCTCCTCTGTATCAGCCACAGCCCGGGCATGGACACGTTGGGCACTTCACAACAGGGACAAACAACACGTTTAACTTATCACTGGTAATTTTTAAAACTAGGAGGACACACCACACATTGTGGCTGCAAAATCATCGGGATTAAGGTTGTCAGTGTATTATGGCTGAATAACCAGTGGCACAGTTCCTACACAATTACACAGGGAGGGCAAAATAGGAAAAAACCAACTCAAAAAAAAAAAACAAAAACAAAACAAAGGGAAACCCCCCCAAAACTAAAAGCAAAAAGCACAGAACAATAGTCTGTTTAACTTAACCTCTTGAACTTTATCATTAGGCTTGCTGCTCTATTGTTGCTCCTGCTTTAACTTGCTTGCTTTCTTTTTTGAGCTTACTAACAGTGCTCAAGAAGTCAAACATTCTTCAGAGAGTGTAAATACAATGATAAGAAATAATAATAAAACAGAAATAAAGAGCATGGGTCAGTGAATGTAGATTGTATTGGGAGCCAGGCAGCATTCCCAGCTCTTCCACTCACCCACCAAGTAATTAAGGGCAAATCTTTTCACTGCTCTAAACAATTCTGTTCTCTGTCTGCTGTCTTCTTAAATTATAATTTTTTTGGTAGCCCAAAGAATAATATTTGTATATCCTCATACACATACACATGTGTGTATGTCTGTGTGCATGTATATATACACACTATAAGGCACTGAAGGGCTTCATTTAGAGGTTATAAAAATAACAATAATAATAATCATAATGTGTTGTAGTTTAAATAACAAAATAGAAAATAGCCTTGGCAGATTTTTTTAGTGTACTAGTAATGAAGACTTCCCCCCAAAAAAAATTCAGAACCACCCATTCTAGCCCTAAAATCTCACCAAAACCACTGGAAGCAAAACCTCTCAGGTTCAAACCACACAGAATGGATCCAAATGTATCTGAATTAGATCTATTTGCCATCATATTTCTGGTACTACCAATAGACACCCGTGGATTTTATTCCATAAACGTGCTGACAAGCTTAAAGCAACTGAACTGAACTTATGCAGGAAATTTCTGAAGAAAAAGAACACCCAATTGTCAGGGGAGGAACTTCTCAGGTAACAGTCATTTAATTTGTAACCTCTCAGTCCTGATGCTGAGGAGAAGCTCCTTAACATCTTCCAAAGACAAGCACAAGAACTGGGATTGACAAGTGGATACGAGACAGGTGGATAAATGAGATTTAATGGTTGTAGTATTATGGCACATTGTGACCTCCCCTCCTCCCTTCTTTCTTCATCTCAGGGGTATAAATCTTCCCCCTCAGGAGAATGTACTTCCATCTCTTTGTCATCCTGACTGCACCTTTCTTCCCTCCCAATCTCCTTCACCAACCTGCCTTACCTTGCAGAGATAGTTCATAACAAAAACTAAGGGCTCACCTTTTTTTAGCTTTCACATCTGCTGCATCTATTTCAGGGACTAAAGAGGAGCTTTTAAGTCTGAATCCTTCAATTTTTCCAGGTATATTGACATATCTAACATGTGTTAGATTTAACTACAATCAATTCAATTATCAGAGTTATCCCCAAACAACTTCAGTTGGTTAATGACTGTTTTTAAAAAAACAGGTGTATGGTGTGACCCAGGTTTATTTAGACCTCAGTTTTCATCTATACCCCTTCTCCTAGTGTTCTTTAATAGCAGGTTTAGGGCTTCCTGAGGCTGTTAAACAAAGGGATGGTTCCTGGATATCATCCACATTACTCACCTTTCCCCCCTCATCAAATTTTCCCACGTGAAAAAACCACTCTCGAGAACAGAACCAGGTTGGCATGATCACAGTGGGTCCGTGGGAGGTGAACACCTAGGAAAGAGGAAAAAAAAACCCAGTCACTTAATAGAATGTCTGCTGGGGAACAAAGCAGAAAAAACCTAAATCTGGCAAATACTTGGCCTGTGCTTGACCTTCAGCAATTTCAAGCACTGAGAAATGCAGGTGTTTAAAATTCAGTGTTTAGTGTTGAAAGTGCAGCTTGAACCAGCATCTCTGAGGTGTCACAGCCCAGCAGGTGAGTCCAGCTCCTGCTTCACATTCCATAACTTCCTCTTCCATCATAAGTTGCAACACATGCAGAATACTTACAACTTTCCTTCAAATTTAGAGTTTTATACTGGAAATGGCACTTATATCAATAATAGCAATGTTGACACTTAAGTGAATGAATTGAGAATAATCATGAAAAGTTAAAGTTCTTAAACTGAACCCTCTAATTGTTGTGCACTGATTTTCCACTTTATATTCCTTATACGTATATGAAGTAGGAACTTTCACTGATCTTTTATTTCTGCCAAAGACACTTAAATCCTAATCAAGCTTGGACAAGTAAAATACAATTTGTTTTAAAGGTTACCTGAGCACTATGGGTTTGCTATCCAGTGGTACCAATCTCAAAAGGCCATTGGAAAGGAAGAGCTTTCGGGACTGAAAAGGGAGTGATTATTAATTTCATCCTCTTGACTAGTGACAGCTGAGAACTCTACAAATGGGTCTTTGCAGCTTTAAACAAACTTCTTGTAAATACAACTGTGAAAGGAGCCAGAATCTGGATTACTGAAGGTAAACTGGTTCTTTCTTTTAGCACAAGATGAAGTATCCAGGCAAGGAAGAGACTGAACTTATCAAACACAATGTGCAAAGTGAAGGCAGGAGCCTGTGCCTTCACTTTGTAGTTTCCAGAAACTACAGAGCACACCCTGGTTTATGAAGGCAGAAGAAACCAACTTCACAATTACTGTCAATCAAACACTAATGGATAATGCAAGCTGATAATTTCATGGCATGTTTCAGTGGTAATATTAATATTCCTGTATGGCTGAAGTTCTTAAAGCTCAGAGCATGAGTGTACATTTTGTCATGTGCACCTGAGCACCTACATTATAGAGGTGTTCTTGATTTCAAACTGGGATGGAGCTCCTTCAACTCTTCTTATGTCTGGCAACTTCCACTTCCATTGAGAAACATGGGTACAAAACCCAAAACAGACACTTAGATCAATTTCTCCAAATTAATTAAATTAGAAATCTAATCAAAATTTAACAGGTGACCTACTCCCACTTTTTTTATGGCATGAACTATCTGCCCAAACCCAGATTTAGGGGGAAACACATGGCATGGTAACTCCAGGAACACACAAAGGGATCTGGGGGAGACTCATCTTCACACAGACACTCCAATTTTAGGCAGTCATATTTAGTCTGAACAATCCTATCACCTAATGGCTGTGGCTTAAAACATCAGCAGCTTGTCCATAACTGAAATCCTCGAGCTTCAGAGGGGCTAAATGTCAAAAGCTCCCCCCAAAAGTCAGTGGGAGCTGAAAGAGTCAAAACAATCCCAGAAAACCAGAGCAGACATGAGCACTTAGTACATGGTGATTAGCTCCACATTAATTACAAGGGCAATTGAGTATGGCCTGAACCAAACAATGACCAAACAGTAATCCCAAAAGAAAACAGCAGTAAGGAGAAAAGCCAGGCCAGAGTGCACTGCATTGAATCTCACTTCTGAATGAAACAAAAACTTCAAAAGAAAGTCCTGAGCCTGTGGGTACATGTGAGATGTGTTTGGAGAGGCCACAATGCCATTTCCTCAGTGCAGCCAGGTCCATCAGAGAACAGAAATGCACTTCAGCCCAGAGATGGAGCTCAATGTAATTAGCCATGGTCATGTGCAAAGAGCATCCATCCCAAATATCCGAGATAATCTGTTCCACTCACATGTATATTTTAGTGAAACTGAACAGAACAAATTTGAAACACTGAGGAAAAACATCCAAATGCTACTTATGTTAACAGAGATGATGACATGAGGATGATTTTATAGCAGACCACCACACACTGCATACACCACTGTCTTTCCTAAATGCAGCAGTGCTCTTTGGCTCATTGTCCATCTCAGAAAAGATACTACAGGAGAATAACACAGACAAAACTGTCACTGATGATGCCACACATGATTTCAAGGAATTATCCTTCAAGAAAGTCTTTGACCCTGGGACAGCACACCAGCTAAGTGTCAATGAATTGGCAAATAAGCTTTTTCTATATTAATATTTATAATGCAACATCAAACCTAACTTGAGGAAATTTAAATTTGCACTTCTGCCACAAAGGACAAATTCATGCTGCTTTCTCCCTTGCTATATAACAATAACGTTTGGGAAGCTGAAATCCCTTTGCTGTTGTTGTTAGCTAAGTATTCAACTGGATCTCCTGATACAAATAACCACAAAATCAGCAGTGCTGCCACAAAGGAGGATGTGGGAAAAGAGGGCACCAGGCACAGAGAGAACAGCAAGATCATTTTTTTCAGCAGCAGTCCACATAGTACACAAATAATCTTTAACCTGATAAAACTGTATGCTCAAAGTCTAGATTTACAGTACATCTCCATTCATTTCAGAGCTCTCCCACTCATCCTGCCTGTGGCTACTCAACTCAGTCAGCTCAGTCACAGCACTGGTACTCACCTGACCCCATGAGAGATCAGAGCACTACATCAGTTAAAAAGCCATTATTTTCCTCTTTTTTTCCAAGAGTTAGTTTTCTATAGCCTTAGTTCTCTGACTCAGTTCACTGGGGGGTCAGAGCAGCAATACCACTGACACACTGGAGGGGGAAGGAACAAGCTTTGGAGAAGAAAACAAGACCTCCCTTTTTAGTCACTGCCCACAGTGAATCAGTCCAGCTGTAACATAAAACTGCATCCTCACACTGATGGGAGGGGAACTGGCCCAGGAAAAACACTAACTCCTAACAACTGCACTGAAACACTGCAGCATCTGCCAAACTTCTGAAAACCACCTTGGAGAGCTTTTGAAATTTTATCTTCAAGAGAGAGAGAAAAAAAATAACCTCAACCTTCTGCACTTTGGAAATTCTATATTTCACCTTGGTTTAGTCAGATGGGAAAGTCTCCTCTGTATTTCTTTGTTGTCTACTCTTGTCATAAACTCTTGCCAAGGTGTTAAAAGCTGGTCAAATCACCTCACTCTGTGATAAAAACTGCAACTTCTCACTTTGTGAAACTGAAACTCAAGATTTTATCCATAAATCTTTCAGATTGCATGGACTGGAACAAGAAAAACAAAGAGAACATGCTACTCTTAATTTGGAAATCCAACAAAAGCAGATTTTGAGTGATGGTGCCATGAACTGCTTTGTTTAGTTTTCTTGGAAATGTTCTCCAACTCTGCTTAACAAACGTCCTGTGTCACCTTGGAACATCAGTGGGTTTTCAGTCCACCTTGAGTAGTTAACTCAGTATATTGGAGAGCAGCTTGGACCTGTGAACCTTTCACATATGGCTGGTTTGGAAGATTAATGCTTAATAATAGTTGTTATTAATTACAATACACTGTATGCTGCAAAGATTATCTAAAGATTATTTAGTTCAATGAAACCAACTTATTAAAAACCCACTACAGAGCCTGTAGAAGAATGTATAAATCTGTTCACATTTAGAATTCATGGAGAACAGTGTTGTCATACCCAAGTTGGAATCTATCTGCAGCAGTCTCCAGGTGATGGAGACAGTCTGCTATTTCAGCATTGCATTCATTAAATTATTTAGGACTTTATTATCATCTGGGTTTATTCCAAGGATCAAGTAGCAAGTAATTGGAACTGGTTTGTTCTTGTTAACTGTTTGACTATCAAATTGCATCCAACTATTACACAGATTCCCTGAAAACAAACCTAAAGAATACAAAGAGTTGATAAAGTGACTTTCATTGTTGTGTTTCAAAGCTGTCAACAGCACATGGAACTCTGGTCCCCACTGATGCTCAGTGCAGATCATGTCAGCATTCAATGCAAGATTTCAGCTCCAATACAGAGAAAGGCATTTATATGTTTATAGTAACTTCTCAAGGAAAGTTCTATTTCCTGAAGCAGCAAATCAAAATCTAAGAGCAATGTGCCAAAAGCATAAATGCAGATGGTGAAACAACCTTATCACATCAGATATCACCATGCAGAACACAGCAAAGAAACCAGGCAGTTCACAAACAGATTTAATCAGGGCCCAGACTGTTTTCCAATGCAACAAGATAATTCCCTACCATTCACCACACATTTAATTCAAAAATTTTCAAAATTATATCCAAAGATTCAGAACAATCTTCTCTGTTGAGATAAACAAAGCTTTTCAGTACCCAGGGTCACACATTAACACATTATAAGGTGAAAAAGAAAAGAAAGCAAATCCCATGCAGGAGGGCTGCAATGATTTTGTGAGCTGCAGGCAGACCATCAATCCTGACTCTGAAAAATGATGTGTTAAGATACCTGTGTGTTAATTCAGCAGCGAATGTCTCAGGATCTCATTGATAAAGTGTACCAGCTTTACATCCACAATCAGGTGCAGGTTTTAGTGTGAGAGAAGAGGTACAGAAGATAAGAGAGGAAAAGACCTCCTCCTACTTCAAAGAAGTATTGGGCAAATAAGATTTTTCAAAAGAAAATAATAACAACAAGCTTTATTCAAGCTTTTATTAAGCTTTAAGGAACCTAACCTCCCAATGTGGTATGGATTACATGCAGTTGGTTTACATTGTACTGAACTGTTGTACCCTTTTGCCTGTACAAATAACTGCCTGTGTCACCTCATCACTGTGAGCTTCAGCAGCAGCTGAAAATCCCTCTCTAAAGAAGCTGGGATGAGGCCCAGCAAAAAGTAGACTACAGGAATAAACCATGCCATGCCTCTCTGCCCTGAAAAGCTGATATATACACAGGAATTCTGGTGCAGGCCTGACTAAAAATCAGCGTTACAATCCCAAACTCTACTCAGCAACAAAACTA